TTTAAACTATAGCCTTTCGAATGTTCTTTATTTTACTTTTCATACAAGATTGTTTTCCTCTTCTTTAAAAATGTTTTTCTAAAAATAAAACTCAACATAAATGTTTTAAGATTAGACTTGTAGGGAAACAGTTTAATTTTCACCATATGTTGCCACAGCGGTTTGTAGATTAAAAAAAAAATCTTTCCACTTAAACTACCAAAAAAAAAATCTAATATAAAAATGTATTCTTCCCAAAGCGTCTCCCTCCTGTGGGCCATTTTATGGCTCCCAAATAAATCTTTAAGGTTGAAAGAAAGCGGAAAAAACAAAAGTACACTGATGACGGAAAAGCAAGTCCTGCCATGATAACGTCCTTTATTAATATTATAGATGTGTAGTATACTGGATGGATCAATCATATCCATTCACAATCAGGATTAAGAGAGCCTATTTTAATGAAAATCTATTAGTCTCTCACTTGAGACATGGATGCTGCTTAAATCAATAAACAGCATAAAAGAATACGACACAGGTTTCTAAATTAAAAAAAAAATCCCATCTATGAAATGTGTTAAGACGTCTGTAAAATCCTGAAACCCTCGATCGATACTTATAAATATTTAATGGTTTTTTTTAAACACAAATTGAAAACCATTAACACTGCATCCATTCTTATTATTAAAACAAATTGTCCTTGGAATTATGTGCTGTGGAAATGGAGCCAGATTGAAAGGGCATCCTCTGAAATATGTTTACTCGCTTTCATGTAAACCAATAAAAATCTGCAGGAGTCTGTAGCGTGAGCAGAAAGGTTTGATGTACAATGTCCATGATTACAGTCTCTGAATTAATCACGAGAGAGAGAGAGAGAGAGAGAGGGAGAGAGGGAGGGAGGGAAGGAGGAAGGGAGATGGAGAGAGAGGACTCAGTTATCTACTCAACAAAATCTTACTCTTCGGGGTCAGCACTTATTAAAGCGTGGATTAAAACGATGATTTTTCTGTTTGCTTGTTTATCCCATTTCGACCAAAATAAGCTAAAGCGGGGGAGGGTGGGAGGAAATCGGTTTCGCCCTACGTCATACCATGAGTCAATGTACAAATGTAAATTCCTCTTATAAATATGAAATCCAATGCTCTGCCTTGGAAGTGCTTAAAGCCTAATGCAACATTTAAACTCATTCATAATTATTCTTCTGGTATAATTCGCAGTAAAACCTCAATGGTCAAGAGGTTCCTTTGAAAGAGGAATTAAAAAATATCACATGGATTGATACCCTTCTAAATAAACCCTCCTCTGCGGTACAAGGTCCAGACTGTCTCCTGCCATGGTGCCTTGCTCGCAGATGCCCCCTCTCACGCGGGGAGGACGCAGTCAGGGGGTGGGCTCGGGTCTGCGCAGGGGAATCAGCCCCGTAGGGGTGGCTGTGGGGCAAATGAGGAGAAGGGAAAGAAGTGGGGATGGACTAAACGAGACAACCCTCTTGTCAAGTTAGGAGCCCAAGCAGGGCAGAAGGCTCCTGCCTGGTACGCCGGGGCAGTAGGGAGAGAGCAGGAGGATGATTTATGGTGATGGAGCCCCGCAGGTGACCCTGCAGCCTGGGCTGCCGGCGCAACCCTCTGATGCGCAACAGGCCACTGATGGCCCATCGTGCAAGGGGGTACCGGGGAGAACGGAGTGGCTTCTGCCACGACAAAAGATTACCCAGGGTGCTACGCTGAGCCGGGGGCAGAGAGAAGCTCCGAGGGACGCTGGTGACTTTTTAGTTTTGCGACAGGGTCCCATCAGCTCCGTGCCTGCAAGGGAATGGGATTTGGACGGCAGTTCCTCCTCTCTCTCTCTCTCTCTCTCTCTCTCTCTCTCTCTCTCTCTCTCTCTCTCTCTC